AAACTCTGTTTCTTGATATTTTGCAGGAAAAAGAATATTGTGTTCTGATGTCTCGTTTCAGCAAAGCCTTGTAGTTTTGTCACATATGCTACAGCACTAGTCTGAAATCTGGTATCATTACTGAAATTAGAATACAATTGCTAAAATGCATAAAAATATGTTCTGATACCTTATCCTATATATCTTTTGCTCGTTTCCATGTTGACTACGTACCTAGTTCATGGGAATTTGATCATACTTGATGCTGTATAAAATTCTGATGTAGGAATGGAATTATTTCTGTCAGTAACAGTTAAGCTATATACATTTCATGTATGCAAGCGTTTGCAGGACTATTTTGGCTGTTTGATGAGTGTTATTGACAAAGAAGAAGTTGGCACCTTTCAGAAGAAAAGATTTTATGACGTTGACCTGCAACCAATCTATTTAAGTTGTTCCCCTTTAATAGAAGCAGGGTGAGTTACTGTCATGATCCTGCAAAACTTGGCTCAGATGGGCTCCCTTAATTGCATGGATGTCAGTGGGACCATTCTGGTGCTTAATTATTGTTAACCTTTTTAATCCAGACAGTTAGCCAATTTTGTCATTCTTGTGGGTTTTTTTTTTTCTGTTGGAACGAGAAATCATGAGGGATTCCCTCATTTGGCTGAAACAGAAAGTATTTGTCATGCCTGTGAAATGTAGCTCCGCTCTGGCAAAGGCCAATCACATCTCATATTATACGTGTCATATATTTGAAGATTCAACCCCCTGTCTATCTGCCGTTACAAGACCTGTGACTAAAGGCACTATTTCAAATGGAATTCACCATTATGCACAACAGGCTCTGAAGTTAAATGATCTGAGAAAAATAAAAAAAAAAAAAGTGCAGAGGGGACAAAGAACAAGTTGGTGGCAAAGGGACAGAGGAGAAACAAGTCCTGAAGCTTAAGTAGAGCCCAGAACAGATTGTATTGCCAAAGGGTTGGCAGAAATCCTTTAGCCATGCTCTTAAAAACCTGTTTTGGAGATGGCTCTGGAGACCTAAAGTGGCTCTGAACCTGAAGCTGTAGTCAAGTAGGAGGCCGCTGACATTGGTGTTGTGGGAAGAACTGCACTGCAATGAGTCCTGTCATTACTGAGCTCCTACACCCTAATTTAGTATTATAATATTCTCCACATTATTCCCTATCTCTGACTGGTGACATTTCAGAGCTCCTCGTGTAAGAGAAACCTAATACAGTCAGTTTCTGGACAAGATTCATTTCTCGTAGCCAGCCTTGAAGCTTAATAGTCCTTTCCGTGCAGATGCGATCAGTCAGTGAGATAGATGGTCTTTTGCTGAAGATCTGCAAACTTTCCTCCTCTTTCAGTCAGGAATTTTCAGCAGACTAATGTCTTCCAGGGCTATCCCAAGACCAAATGCTAAAAACAGCACTGATAAAAGTTCCTACTCCAAACTTCTACTATGGGTCCTAGTTCTTTGTAATGGATTTAACTTTGCAGTATTTCACATATTTTTTTCAGTACACTGTTAATCTGTTCAAGCAAAACTTCCAAGCAAGCTGATAGGTTGAGATTAAAGAAATGCATTTCAATAAATCCACATATTGGTAGATTTGTCATGATGTGGAACGCAGAAAGGGGAATCTGTGTTTTGTTTTGTTTTTTCCCTGCCCTGGATAAAAGTGATCCTCCCTTATCTCCAATGGATAAATGCAGCCTGTTGATAAGAAGACTGTCATGCAGTGTAGGGGTGGGAGAGTAATCAGCTGCAGGAAATAACACACAGTGCCTCTGAGCACAAGTCAAATGATTACCTTACCTTGAGGGCAACAAGGGAGAATGGAATGGCAAGAGGGAGAAAGAAGAGAGAAACAGTGAGAATAATGTGGTGCTGGAGTATCTAGAACGCAAGCACAGATGTAGGAGCAAGACCAGCAGCAGGTCGCAGACTGTCTAGCCCCATATTCAAGCCAGCAGTTCTGGCAGTGCCCTGCAGCAGGCAATGCAATCGCCAAAGCAAGCAGGTAGGACGATGGCTGGAGGCTAACGTGCATGCTCCAGTGTTTAAGCTGGTGTTAGAGGACAAGAGCACCACTGAAACCTCCTGAGGAGGGCCCATACGGGAGGTGCAGAATGGTCTACCTTCACATTGTAGATCATGTGGAAGCAGCCAAGTGCATCTCAGTTTGTCAGGCTGTTAAAAATCCCATCCGTTTGCAAAAATAGCTTTTACTACGAGGACTTCCTTTAGTCTTCCTTATTCTCTCGCAATGGTCTTCATCCACACCATCCAGAGTATTATTTCTAAAATAATCTTTCTCACTCACACTGCAAGTATGTCATCATCCACTGTGAGGCCCTACTTCGGGCCCCTATTCGGGGCCTGGCCACCAGTGCAACCCTGAGGATAGTGAGGATAGACGCGACAGCAGACAGCACGCGATGCGGCGGACGTTTTGCTGGACACGAGCGCTGGAGCAGGTGTGATGGATTCTGTGAGCTCGGCAGAGAGAGGCAGACGCCTCTCTCACAAAGGCGGACGGAAAAACGGACTTTCCTCCGAAGTCCCGCACATCTCCGACCGGCTCCAGGCACGCATGCATGGCAGTGGTACGCCAAGGCCCCAGGAGCCTGCATTTAGGCTCTGCACGGGCTGAGCACGCAGCATTTGACTGACTTCAAAACCCTCCGGGGAGGTACGCCAAGGCCCCAGGAGCCTGCATTTAGGCTCTGCACGGGCTGAGCACGCAGCATTTGACTGACTTCAAAACCCTCCGGGGAGGATATCTATAATAAAAATGCCAGCAACAGTTCTGGTGGCACTGATGAGCGCGTGTGTGTCTGAGCCTGCGTGCCGGGGTACCCCCGGGAATACGCGGGTGTGCCTTTCGCAGCGCGGCCGCCTGTGCGGCGTGCTAGAGGAGCTGCACGTCCGCGAGTGCCGCCGGGCCTCGGCTTACTCATGCCCGGTCAGCTGCGTGTGCGAGCCGGTGCGCCGCGCCACGTGCTGTTCCCAGAGATATTTTTAGGTTTAGGTGGGACCGTCGGATGTGACGCTGCGGCCGGGCTGGGGCAAACGCCGCCGAGGTGTAAGCGGTGTAGGCGAGGGGCAGGATTGCGAGGGGCTGGCGATGAAGAGTGGAAGGGGTCGGTGCAGGCATGGTGCGTGTGTGTAACAGTGGGTTTTCAGGGCACAGCAGGCCCTGGAGGCTGTGTGTAACCGCGACAGGCTCTGGCGGCTGCCAGCGAACCGCGGGGCCGCCCCCCCCGGGGTGGGTGGGGGGGGGG